GAAGTAAGCAATGCACATTTTAATTACCTTGCTGTTTACTTTCTCTGTAGTTTCCCAGCCTTTAAGGAAACTGTTAAAACAAGGATAGAGAGGATTGTCTGTTCTGCTTGTGCTCATAAAACTCCAGTATTGTGGTCTGGTCAGATGTCAGTCTAGTTCAGATGTTCTCCTGCCTGCTATGTCAGAGGCTCTCTTCATGACTAGAGACACACACAGGGCATTAACGTATCGGTATCATGTGTAGTCTGCACCATGCACCAGAGGGGCTCAGAGGGGGAAAGAGGATCATTCACTAGCAGCATTTCTTTAATTCGCATACTTGACTGTCACTGTAGATGGAAAAATGCAGTGAAATTTGGTCACTACTGGTTCTGGTTGGTAATAAAAATTTTATTCATAAATCTCGTAATGGCTCCGGTTATCCCTGATTTTAGCAAGGAATTCTGAAACCCACCTCTAAATGGAAAAGGTTTGAGAGGTGCCATCTCTTTCTCACTCATTGAGCTTTAACATACAGAATTCAGGCATTAAATGTTTAACACGCAGTTTGCAGGAAGATCTTCAGATGCACACGGCTGCTCTCTGCAGTGAGCCAGAGGTGGAACAGAGTGGTGAATCAGAAGTGAAGAGCTTAACAGGACTTTAAAATCAGCAGAGAGGCTGGCTTGAGTCACAGATGCAAACATTTTGAGGTAATCCATTTTTTTAGCAAATACTGCCAACATATTCACCCTACTGATGTTTGTGCCTCAGTGCCACTATTGGTGCTGGGGCAGAGGCCCAGTCCCTTGCCCACAGGCGCTGCTGCCTACTGGGGCCCCCTGCACACCAGACCCTGCCCTAGCCCCTCAGCCTGCCCTGGGGAGGGGGCTTGGGCCTTCCCCATTGCTCCCTGTGCCACCCGGACCCATACACCCCGGGCAGGAGCTGAGCAAGGGAAGATGTACCAGGTTCAACCCTTGGGCTCTTTATGGGCTGCTGGATGATTTGTTAGAACCTGCCAATGCAGTCTGATCAATAATGCCCAGAAAGGCCTATCCTTCAGCATGTGCTTTCCCTAACCATTGGTACTCTTCAGATAAGAAGATCAGGGTTGGCAATGGAGGTTTAACTGGTCTGGACTCATCCATACATATATGTATATATATATATATTTGCATTTTCTTTGTTGCATTATTCACATCTATGCCAATGGTCTATTCAGCGTTATTGCCTTTATTGCATCTTTTCTGTGATTTCACAAGGATGCAAGGTGTGCTTTCATTTTCCATATGCATATGGAAATCTCTTCCTGTATACTATTGGCACAAGCTAGCTCAGCTGTTTTCAATGTGAAGGCCCATCCTCAGCTCCAGAAGCCAAGAAAAGGTATTTCTAAGAGCATTTCAGCTCGGCACACTTGATTTCACATCTCAGAGGGACATGGAAATGTGCAGTTGCATTCCTGCAGCTCTTCTTTACAGAATCAGTTCTGGCAGTGGGGACAGGAAACAGGGCTTTCTTACAAGTATTTGGCTCATACAGGACTAAGGCTTCTTCACTTTTTAAACAGCATTCACATACTTTAATCTTTCAAAGGGGTGAAAGGAGAAGAGGGACCATTGAAGATTGTGGTCACCTTTGTAACCTTCATTCAAAATACTGGAGAAGATATCAAAGACTACAGTTTTTTTAAGATGTGGATTGTGAATAATTTACTAAAAATCTTGGAAATAATTGTAATCTATTGCACTTCCCAGAGATGACAGAAAAAGGAAGGGACTTTCAAAGGCATGAAGTATGAGCTCATTTCCATGATCTTTTGACCATAAAATAAGAATGCATATGTGGAACTGTTGTATCCAGTCTGTCCTCTGTTGGCTGCCCACTGATTTATGAAAGCACATAAATTACTCAGCATCAGAGGACTGTATATTGTATGGCCTCAAGTCAGCAAGACAAACAAGTACATGCCTAATTTTAAGCAGATGACTTGTTCCAAGAGAAAGGGCTTTCATGAAAAATTAAAATTAAGTATTTTCTACAAAGAACTGAAGCATATACATTGTTTCCAGATGAGCCTCCTTACAGAATCCAAACATCTTGCCTTCTGAATATGCTAATGTACCATACTCCATCCCAGCCAGGCCTAGTACGTTTGACTTTTCATCAGAAATAAGGAATATTTCAAGTATGGTGAAACTGTTCTCTGAGGACGGAAGAAAACGGTCTTGCCCATGTGTATGTCCACAAGCTTCTCAAGTTTCTGTTCTGGATGGCAGCAAAGCAGCTCTGGAAACACAATTTGTTCAGTTTTGCAAAGCAGTTGATCTCTTCAGCTTGTGTTTCAAAAAACTCCTTTTGAGTATTCCTGTCAAAGTCCTGTATTAAAATTTTATTTCTCCTGTCAAAGGCAATAATTCATGTGGTAGCAAGCCACAAACATTGCCTTATAAATGACATTGTGAAAATATGTAGACAACATCCTACTTTCCTCAAATTGGGCACGCTAAGGACAACAGCTGCTGCCTTTCTAGCTTAGGGAGCAGGTGTTTGACCACCTACAAGCAGGATGTTTTCTCCTCATATGAAAAGCATGCAGGTTTACTCAGTGATGCCAAACCATCAAGGCAATACAGCAGTCAAAAAATTAAAATGTTGACAGTCTTCCTCTTACTGAATAACTTGGTCCAATGCCATGGAAAAATACATCAAATTAATAAAAATTGAACAGAGTTTTCTCCCTGAAAGTGCTGTTAAGGCTTTATAAAGCCACCCTCTCCTGCTGTTTTTTATTAATTTTATGACACCCTGAAAAAGTTTATATGGTGATGAACTTGGGGAATCTTGGTAGCATGGCCTCTCTGAACACTAGGATTGATAGGACAAGGGGGAATGATTTTAAACTAAAATAGATGAGATTTAGATTAGATGTTAGGAGGAAATTCTTCACTCAGGGGGTGGTGACACACTGAAACAGGCTGCCCAAAGCCAGGCTGGGTGGGGATTTGGGCAACCTGGTCTGGTGGGAGGTGTCCCTGCCTATGGCAGGGGGTTGGAGCTGGGTGGGCTTTAAGGTCCCTTCCAACCCAAACCATTCTGTGATTCTATGATGTTATGAAGAAACACAAATCATAGCATCATGGAATACTTTGGGTTGGAAGAGTTCCAAATACCTCTGATCTTCTTTGCAATTTAATGGATTCTAATGAAGATGGTCCATCGAATGACTGGTATTGGGCCAAACCCTTAACTTTGAGTAGCATAAATATATTATTAAAAAAAAAAAAAAGTGTGTTGTTGTTGTTTTGTTTTGTTTTTTGGTTTGTTTGTTTGTTTTTACAAAATTGGTTAAAAATTCACAATGAGAAAATGGCGAATTAAATATTCTGCCTTGGTGAAACAATACAAGGGGGAATTGAAACTGGTTCCTCTATGGAAAAGGCTCAGTTAGTGGCTGGGGGTCAGGAAGAGGACTGATGGAGCTGCTTTCACACATTTTCTGGCTGGGGTGGAAAGATATTCGTGAAGAACTTGCAGATTTTTATTTTAGGAATTGAAAAAATATCAAAATAGAACATATGCCCAGTGCAGACAGTACTGGTATTTTAAGAAATGGTTGCAAACCTTCAGAATTTTCTGAGGAAATTAGCTGGAAATTAAAATGACAACAACAACAACAAACAAACAAACAAACAAACAAGCAACACCACCTCTTCTAGTTCTATTTCTCCCGTTCATGGCATTGTATTATATTATCCAATTTTAGTACAAAGAAATCATGGCTTAAGTATTTAGCAAGGCAACTCTTGAAACATCAAGGAAAAAACTTTTCTCAAGAGCAGAAAACCTGAAAGAGCATTTAATACAGGTGCAGGTGCTCAGAGGAACTCCTTGTTTCACATAATTAAGTCTATAAAGATCTCAGCCACCTTGTGTTTAAAATAACTTTTAACATCTAACACAGAAAGCCAAAGTTGTGGTTTAATTTAAGGCTGAACCAATGTTCCTTAAAATCAAGGGGTTTCTCTTTATCTTTAACCTACATTTTTGTCTGTATTAGTTTTAGTGCTTCGAAATTTGTGCTACTGTTCTAACAATCACACAACTGAAAAGAAGGGAGTGCTGAGATTTTGCATGTACTAAGCAAAGAAGTGGAGTTGCCTAAAATACTCTCCTCACCCCAGCTACGAAAGGGACCCAGTGAACTGGTCTAACATGTGGCATCTGTGACTCAACACTAGCTCTGGTTAAAATAAACAGAATTCTTCTAAAAGATGAGTCAGAGGAAAATGGCAGCTGGGAAGTCGTTTCTCAAGGATAAGACTTGCATCTGCTCAGTGTGAGGCTTTTCTCCTGACTGCTATTTTGAATGGCCATCTGGTGCGTGTCTGTTCCAGCCACATACACGTTCTGAGCAGTTTCTCTATATACCTCCAGTGCTTTGGAGGCAGAGACTCCACGGGCCAGTGTAGATACGATCTGGGAAGCAAGCCTAACCATATTGTGCAGTTGGACTTCACTGCATCTCCAAAGCAGCCAAGAGAACTGGCTGAAGAAGCGGTTTCCGAGACAGCAGATGCTGCTGCAAACAAGTCATGCAGAGTTTGTTGTTTTACTTTAGAAGCCTTGTTTTCACCCGCCTGTGATGTGAAGGTACAGAGAGAAGGACCGCCAACATCCCATATGAAAGGTGCACACACAGTTCTTTGCTCCTCAAAAACAGGATGCCTCTTGTTCATAACAGAGGCGAAGCTCTCTCCGCATTTTGATGTTTGTGTCACTGCCTATCCTGGAGTCAGTGTAGGAAAGAGGTGCCAAAAGTTGTTCGTTCTTGACATGTGACTTTCTAGCACGATGTTTTTAGCTTCAGAGCAGGGGATTCTCAGTTTCAGAACTGCTGCTATACCATTGATCTCTCTTAGTCTGCTAGCCTCTCCGCTCCATTTTTAGTTCACCATTTCTTTCATCACTCTCTCTCCTGTCTCCGCCCCACCACTGCCTGTTTGCTGTATTTCCTTTAAATAGAACTTCGGAGTGCTGCAATGCACGACACATTACACAACCGTGCTTTAGGATCCGTGAAGATGTGTAACAGGCTTGTGTACCTTCCCAGCTATTTTTTAAATCCATCCTCATCAAACTAGGGAGTAGCTGCTAGTGATGTAAGTAATCTGTTCTTCATCTTCTTCCTAACACTACACCCAAATTCTTTGGCAGCTCACAAACACTTAGTGCTTGTTTTGGAATGCCTTTGATCACCAAAGTGAGCTGGGGCTGGGACTCGACATTCATTGCTAAGCTGTACCTTCTGCATTTGCCTTTTCTGCATCGCCAGTGATGATTTCTCTCAGTCTTCTACTTAAGTTTGGGTTGGTTGTGATACCCTGAAGCCATTGATCAGAGAGCCTCAGTTCTCTAATAGCCATCGCTCTCCATAGTTAGTAATCACCAGTGACAGGGGATCCATCCCAGTCCTCTTGTCCAGGCTGCAGAGAATAAGTGACATATTATTTCTGTCTAGCTGGTAAACTGGCTAAAAGCCACTAACTGTGATACACTAATGGCACAAACAAGACAAAGAGCCCAGCCAGTTTTCAAAGACTCCAAATATTTCTTGGTATTGCATAGCAGATAGCAAGCCATGGCTTCAGAGCTGATAGGTGCAAAAACATCCAGGAGCAATAGCTTCAGCTGTGCACTCCAGCTTGGTCAGTTTATGTGGGATCAGAAACACAGAAGCTCAAGCTACAGATGAAGTGGAAAATGGGTGGTTAAATACCTGTTTTGCCATTAATGATTCCTCCACAAGCCTCATTGAATGGGTCTAATTCCCTATTGCTCAAGAGAATTACACATGCATAAAATGAGTTTATGTGGCTTGGGAATCAATTCCCAGGTTTCTCAAAAATCTTCCTAAGCAGATATACATTTCTCACATAATTCTAAATTTCCTTAACCCCATTAAAATGAGGTTAAAGCTAAATTATTTCCAATTTTATTAACAACCAAAAAAAAAAATCTTTCAATTTTTACAATCAAGAACTGCTTCATGCCAAATTAGATGAAATAATTAATTATGCAGAAGATTTTTTTTAAAGCTTAGAGTTATACTTCATCTTTCTTTAAATAGGTTTTACTCTCCATAAAGTTAATAAATAAATTCCCTGTGATTTTATGATAATCATTCTTATTTTCCTACTAAACTATGGGAAATTATATTTTTGTTTTGTTATATGCTGACTTTTTTCCTCCTCATGTGTACTATTTCCAGATAATTACAGCAGAGCAATCAGAAGATCTGTAGAAAATATGCAAAGGACTAAAACAAACAGATCAATGAACCCCAGGCCTGTTGGTCTATTTCCTGCCATGCAAGATATTTTTAGCGCTCATCAAGCTTTCAAAACTTAATTGGAAGTCCTAAGTATTTCCCTGACTTTGGATTTCATTCTCCCTATGCAATGAGAAACTAACGATGCTGAGAAATAGAAACTCTGTTTGGTCTAGCACAGTGGGTTGCAGAAATGGATGTATTGAAGTATGTGAACCCTCAGTGTATTTAAAATCAGTTTTACTTTAATTGAAAACTAGAAATTAAACATATGCAAATGTGTGCAGTACAAAATGCAGCAATGCTGTAAGTTGAAGGCAACTGACTCCGTGTTTGGCTGTTGGTGGCACTCAGGCCTGGAGTGGTGGTATTGTGTCTTGGAGCTATTAAAGGTAATTTGTAACAGCAGTATGGCTCTGTAAGGGCCATTGGAGGGGATACATCACAACCCCTTAGCCAGATATGCAGTTCTGGAGGCTCCAGGGTCTTGAGCCTAGTTTGAAGTTTGAAGCACAGTGCCCCTCTGCTCCTTTCCAAATCCCTTTCTCCAGTTCCCTTGCTTCCTCTGATGCTTCCTCTCTCCTTCCAGAAGTCCCCACAAGCCCTTCTGATATGAGCCAGCACCTTCCTTTTCTTTCAGTGAGCTGGAAGCCATCAGCAAAAGAAGTGGGAGAGAGTTCCTTTGCATGTGGTTTTTGTGTCTGGGTCACACATCCTCAAGTGCTTGCAGGAGTAATTGTGGGGGAACAGATGCTTGTTCCTTTCCACTCCATGATGGAGGACACTAAATAGACAAAGATTCATGAGGAAATTCAGGCATCAAACTCTAATGTGATTTATCTGAAGGAGCAAACTGAGAATTTTCATAATTCATAATATATTTTAACCAAATTTGGGCAAATTTCCTGAGGAATGACAGAAGGCAAATTCTTAATGCCAGGGTCTTATGCACACAGACCTGATGTTATTTCAGATTCTAGACCCAAATCAGTAAGACACTGGAATCTCTCCAATAAGTAACATTATTTTTAACATTGGTAAGATAATATTATCTCCACAATGTTGGTCTGAAAAATAGGTAAACTCTTTTCAAATTAAACTTTCAAATAAAATTCAGCCTGTGGGTAATGTTATTAGGCTCAGTTCTTACTATTAATCCTGAGCAAAATGCTAAGGGTTTAACACCAGGCACCTTGACATTTTAAGAGTTGGACATTTTTAATTACAAGCATTTCTGCCTGAACTCCTTGTAGCTATATCTTTGCTCTTGATTTTCAAATAATAATCATCCTGCCAAAACTCCTTGGTGTAAATAGGAAACAAAGGGTGATCACCCAATAAACATAATAAATATTTATCCAATAAATTCTGTGGTTGCTTATCTTACTCATCTTACAGTGTTTTCACTTTTTTTTTTCCAGCTGATCTTTCCTAGCAAGTTCATTCAGAGTACCTACGTAAAGTAGACTTCAATTATTGAGTTACAGATAATTCCTACATTTCTGCTTGATACTCTGTGGTTGTGGGTTAACCCATCCCAGCCAGACCCAGTGTATCTGTAAACAGGAAATGTTTGAAAAAGCTTAGAGAATTTTAAATAATAGTTTGTTGAAATCGCTGAGAGTTTACAACTGAATAATCTTGCAGAAGTATATGACTATCCCCACTTCAATCTTGGAAGGCAACACAGGAAAAAGAGAAGTCAAATTAGCCAGCATCTAAAGATTTAAAGGTATACTCATCTGAAATATTTGCCATGTAGCAAAAGGTGACCTCAGTATTGCAGCACAGTTGTTGGCTAACAAGACACCAGCAGGGTTAAAAACTGAAAGTAGGAACAACCTGCAAATAGCACATGAATTTACAAGAATGATACCCAGCATGAGTCTTTCCAAAGCAGATGGGTGAGAGGTTTATTTCTTTATCATAGAACACCAATGGAGAGTACAATACCAAAAGCATCTCAGATTTACTCTAAAAGCTTGCCAGAAATGCTTGAATCAGACTTAGTATGTACTAAAGTGTTTGTCAGGAATCTGTAGTTTCTCGTTACTAATGGTGCTTAGTCACATTTTTTGCACATTTTTACTTAACAGACTACAAGAACAGCATGGTGTTTTTTGTTTTGTTTTGTTTTCTATGAATTCCTACACTGATCATGTTTTTGCATTTTGTCTTTTTGAACAAGGAGTGCACAGCAGTTACCACTTACCTTAAATACATGTATTATCATCTCTCAGAGTCATTGACAACAGCAACAGAGATTATATTACATACTGAAAATTTATAGATTACTGTGCAAAGCTGTCTGGATTTTGAAGGATTTTTATGAAGAAGGAAAATGTGCCCTCATCTATCGTATTCCCTCTTCACTATCCTGATCTCTCCATTGCTATTGCTATTCTGGATTGGCCTTCTCACCCTGGAGAGTATAGGGATACAGTGATTTTGCTGAAGATAGCTACATCCTGACGACAGCAAAGGGTGCTCAGAGAGAATCACCAAGAGCAACCAGATCTCACAACCTGCAAGCCAAAACTGAGAACTGTGGAAGCACATACTCTGCATGATCTGGGTATCACCGATAATCTCTCATTATGAATTTCTTACAGACTCGTATTCTTCCTAAGTCATGATTTCATCTGTAAGACAGTGAATTGAGCAAACAGTAAAAATGCTGATTTTCAGAAGATTCTGTGCTGCTCAACTCCAATATCACCGGCACTACTATGTTCAATATCTTTAGCACCAATGCACTATAGCATTTAGAGCTATAGGAGATAGGTGTATATACATCTGTCCAGTAGGTGATAGAAAAGATTTTGGCATGAATGTATGTTCCAGGTAAGAAGAATGAAACAACCAAAGCTTGAAATCCTGAAGGTGTATCTGCTGTTCCATGGAAAGCATGTAGGCAAAGGGGCTTACCATGGTCAAATAGTATTTTGGTGACCCTGAAGCCTAAAGAGATCGGTTTACTAGGACATGATTTTACTGAAGTAGCAACTTTGTGGGTCAATAACTTCTATGAGCTCATCTAATGCTTTTGTTAGTGGTAGAGAGGTAGTTTACATTGGCCACCAACACGAAAAAATATGGCCATTACAACTTTGTGGGATTGAAATTAGGAAACTTTTATAAATTGTCATAATTTTTGGGTTATGTTTTTATCAGGAGGTTAAAAGAATATGGTTTTGTTGTGTCAGCGTCAAACATAGTAACTCAAAAATATGTGGATCCTGATACTTACTTATTATGATAACAAATGTCATCAATACATACTTCTTCATAATGTCATGAAGCTGAGCGTGTCTATCAGGGATTCAATAATATGGGAGTCAAAGAAAAAAAATCTTTTTGCAAAAAGAACTATTGGACAGTTTCCTACATGAGGAGTAGCATTCTCTAAATATGCATGCATTTCTGCTGACTTCTAGCTTTTGGAGGAAAAGCGCCATAAATTTTTGTTTTATATGGTCACTTGCCAGAAATTTAATCTTCAAAGATGAGATTTAGAGTAGATCAACTATAGAGTGATATATAGCACAAATAGTCAATCTATTTTGAAAACAGAATTTTCTTTACATTTTGAGAATAAAGATTTTCCATGTGGTTATATTTCAAAGATCAAAAATACAAGCACTGTTTGTAAAATATCAAGAAACAGCAATAACGATGCATATTTATTCTATTTTTTGAGTTTATCTGTATCTTCTCCAGGATAATTGCTGACTGTATTGTCATGCCAAACTGTCAGAGTATACTCAATACCTCATGGCAACAAGTTTAACATGTTATGTCTTATTCTTCAGTTTTATATGTAAACAAACACAGTACTTTGATTTGGCATCAAAATTCCTCATCAACAGTTTCCTCTTTTTTATTTCCTAGTGGGGATTACATTTTCCATAAACTTCCATCTTGTTTGAAGATGAGAATGAGACCATTTGATGCATATGATATATTTTTTATAGTACACTGGGAGACTGACATATTGCAAGAACTACTGCTGATAGATAATTGTCATTGTACCATTTTATTAGCGAATATTAGCTTTTTAAACAGTAAATATGTGGTTAGGAAAATGTAAACCTTGTGCCAAGAAGAGAGATTTGAAATGTATTAACTACTGAGCCAAGGATTTAATAACCAGCATGAAGGTTTAAACTGACTTTTAAGGACTTTTAATACGTATAATAAAAACTCAAATTCTTCAGATTTTTAGAACTTCAGGAAGTATACACAAATCTCACTATTTTATATAAGAAATATGGAACATCCCTATGGTATCTAAACATCTATATAGCAGGCTGAAGTAAGCAGCCCAAAAGCAAGTAGCAGAGAATGTGCTCTGTAATACAGCACGTAGATTATTGAACATGAGCGATACACACTTCATTGCAAGGGTAAAACATTCTTCTTCTGACCGCAAAGAAGACAAAATAATACAATACATTCTTAACAAGAACAAGTGAATGAGATCAAAGTGCCTTTTGTTAACATTTCTGGCAGATTCAGTATTTGGCAGCCATTGTGTCAGCGTTCAAACAAATCTGTAAGAACAAGGAGGGATCACATTCATTTGGAGAGACCTCCCATCCTGCGAGCTGTTCGGGCTCCACCTCGCACTAACAGGACTCTGCTCTGGTGGGCCTGGCATAAGTCCAGTTTGCTGCATGAATCTCAGTCAGTTCAAACCAGGGCTGCCTGTAAAGTTAATACAGTTATTTACACTGAGTGAGCAAGTATAAGCAGCACCACGAAGAAAAGCGCTATCTTCCAAACATACTCTCAGAGTGGTGGAGAGCTGCAGCGGGACAGAAAGCAGGGGGACAGCTCAGGAGACCTCCACCCGCAGTCTGCTCCAGAGGGGAGGCCCAGGCAGATTTTCCTGCAGGCAGCAGCTCACTCTCAGCTTCTGCAGAAAGTACTGCTGAGAGCAGAGTTCATCTTCCTATGGACAACAGGCAACTCCCCCCATAGCAGGATAAGTGTGTCTGCCCTCAGGTGTGTAAACTCAGGGTGCGGATGCCTGAGAGCTTTGCTGCTTCCATGCCTGCTTTCTGCTGTTGTCACAGTGCCCTCTCTCCACCAACAGCATGGTGGGAGGTTTGGTTTTATGGCACTGAGTGGTGGATTTAAGCACATCCCTGCCATATAAACACATTTTCTGTCCAGCTATCTGCACAGTTCTCATACTGGGCCTGCCTTGGCCCTTCCCCAGACCTTCCCACCAGACCCCTCAGGGCTCTTTCACCTCGCAGTGCCTCAGAAGTTCAGGGTCTCCATATTTTCACCCCTCCTCTGTAAGACGCCTCCAGCCCACACATTTTCTCTTCCACCTGGAGGGTCACAGGGCTCAGACCTTTTCCTGACGGGCCAAATCAGTCTGGCTTCAAATTGTACAGCTGAAAGACAATAAGCCATGCTGGGCCAAGAGCTCTGAGGTGGCCCGACTGGCTGGCCAAAAGGCCTCCTGGTGGAGCTCCCATGTGTTGTTTATGCCTTGCTCTCAGCAATGGTTTGCCATTTTTTGCTGACTCTGGCTTTTCCAGCATCCAGGTCCACCTGGTTGAACTTCCTTTTGCTTAGGTAAGGAAACACTTTTGCTCCTCTGGTGGGCTGGAACAGGATCATATTGTCCTGCTCTGGGGACAGCATCAGGTGTGGAGATTGACTGGGGCAGTACACCTGTCAAAGCACAACACAGGTGTGCTCAGGTGAGCTCAGGGAGGCCAGAAGGCTCCTGTGAAGGGCAAAAGGTCTTAACTTTAAGCACTAATACGGACTGTGAAAGTGTTGCCCTCCATACATACTCCCAAATCCTGCACACACAGCTCTCATAGCCAGGGGCACACAACATTCTCCTTCCTCATCATCTATCCTTATCTTGGATGCCAATTACTAAAAATTGTAAGGTTTTTTTCTTTTTTTTTTCTAAAAATTAAAAGTTTTCTTTTCCCTCTTGAGTCAGACAGATCCCTACACCACGAGCAGAAAGGTGGAGTTGTGCAATGTGACAATGTGAGGGAGTGGGAGTGAAATGCAGCAGCTCTGTGCCCAGGCCAGGAGGGATGAGAGACAAGCATCCTGAGATTTGGTACAGGTTGCTGCAAGGAGCCAACAGATATTTGTGGCCTCTTTGTTGTATGGGTATCTCTGTGTCCATTTTCCACATGCCAGCCAGGTACCCTCCAGCCAACATCCAGGTGATCCGATGGGAGGAAAATGAACAACATTTTATGACCAAGCATTGATCTGCTGAGCCTGGGGACCTCGCAGTGGTCCCAGCTACTTCCTTGGCTGAAATTTCTGTAAATAGCTGTACGTAGTTTTTCCCAGCAAATGGATGAATTCTTGGTTTCTCCACTCCCCAGCACCACCTTGAAGGTTTCCTCCCTTCACCAGGTTAAGTTTCCATCAAGGTCTCTGAGGGAAGCACTGCATTGGCCCCTTTAAGCCCGGGATGTCTGAATGTGCCAGAAGAAAGGGGCCCTTATGGTGGGGGAATAAAGGAAATACTGGTCTTTGAGAAGAGTTCTCGGGGACTGTGGACCTTGGCTGTCAGCAGTGAGGGCAAGTCACAGAGACTAGAACTGGAACCAAGAGATGACACAGTGACAGTGTGTTCCTTTCATAAGCAGCAGCAATTTCACTGCACAGCAAGCCACAGGCAGAGATTTGGGGCAGAATAAACTGCCAGCTACCCCTCATCATTTGCACATTCCAGGTCACATTGACCAGCAAATGAGTCACATAGGAAATGATGGCAGTTGTAGTTCATCCCTGTTCTTCCTCCATCTGCTGCTACTTACTGTTGGAAGTGCTGTGCAGGACGAGATGACCGGGTGTGGAAGACAGTCCTTAGCCTATCAGTCCAGTTCCTCCCCAAGGGTGGCTGAGCATCTGCTCCTCTGCTACCCAGCAGCTGCTCGGGGGGTACCAGAGGAGCTCCTGGCCATGGCTGAGGTAGCTGCTGAGGGTTCCTCACCTGCCGAAGGCCTGAGGGATAAACAGCCCTAAATAGCAAGAGAAGAACAATGAGTTCATGGTGTCTACACAGTTTGCCTGCTGGACTATTTCCATGGCTGTTACCAGGCAAGAACTGTGGAAAGCAGAGGCAGACCAGCCAGAAATGTCAGCAGCAAAGCATTCATGGTGAACCACAGAGGACTGCAGCACAATAGAAATAGAAAAATATGCCTTCTAATTGATGAAAAGTTAACTGAGTTTGGAGACATTTGTCCATAGATGACTATAAAAGAAACTGCAAGGAAAACTACTCTGACCTCTTCTGTGTCTGTTATGAATGAAAATAAAATGGGGCAAGGACCTTACAAGTGCTAAATCTCAACTCTTTCTGCAGGTAATGACACTCTCATGTCAGCCTTGGCAACCAAGAAATATACAGCAGGAATATTGCCTTTCATTTCCTGCTGTTAGCTCTCATGGCTGTCACTCCCAGATCTGGAGCAAGGTCCTCTACACCTGTTTTGTTCTTTTTATAGTTGTAGCACTGAAAAGAAGCCAGCCCCTTTGCAGGGATAACTCAGTTATCACCAGAAAAAAAAAAAAAAAAAAAGGAAAAATGTGTACTTGCTGCCAAGCAGCATCTAAGTCTTCTAAGAACACCCCTGTGTGCATACAGTCTCAGATGGTCAGCAGAGATATTGTCACCAGGGTTAGCTAAGTTACATATGAAGAGTATGAATAATTTGCTCTTAAAATGTCAGAGTCCCTGGTGATTAACAGATGTGATCTGTTGCAGTGCTCTGGTACCAGAGGAGTTTGGGACTGTTAGAGCTTAAATTTAGTGACGATTCAGAGGCATGTAAATGTGAAATGTCATGGAGATGATTCAGTGTTTTCAGCAATGTGCTGATCTCGGAGAAGGCATTCACTTTTTCTGCTCCTTAGAGAGAATGGCCTGTGATATGGAAGGATGGCTAGGGGGAAAATCTCTAAATCAGTCCTCTTAGCAAATGGTCTAAATGATCTAGATGATCTAAAGACCTGCCTCTTCGATAGTGTGGGACCACTAACTAACAAGGTATAAAGAATGCAAAAACAAACAAACAAACAAACATACAAATACAACGCTTTAGGGCTATATCCACGTAAAGTAGCTTTACCATGGAGGACAAAGTTACCAGGTACACAAAGATAAGATTTGCATCCTTTGCATTTGATTTCTAGGTGTGTGAATCCTCAATTGGAAAAAGTCCTAGTCGTCCTAAGCTGGTCTCCTACTAGGATACGTAGGATCTGAATTAGGCCATCAGCTTGGTTTACTGCTCAGCTGGTCAGTTGTGACCACAGGGCCCTGCCTAGGGCCTTCCTGAGACCCTGGAGCATGGCTCATAATCAGGACTTATCAAAGAGGGTAGCATTGGGGTTTCACTTAGACAAATGCATTTAGCCCTTGAGCAGGTTGCCCATGGTAAAACATCAGCAAATAATCTTAGCTGCACAAAATCAGAAAAGCTCTGAATATACCCAGAATCAGAGGCTGGGCCAAAGCATACTTGAGCCGAAGAACATCCTTCAAGCATCATGCAACATGTTTTTGTGGTTCACTGTTCTTCCTTTTGGTATGTATGAAAGGGCTAAAATATCATGTGGAAGTCTTATACCCTTGACAAAGTTTTTTTGGCCAGTATTGAAATGCTGAAATGCTTGGGTTTTGAAGGATCTGTTTTTCTAAGATTTTCCAGTTGATTTCAACTAGCCCTGAGGTTGTCACAATAAAGCTGAGGTTCAGGCAAGCCTACATGTTTGCAGCTGCTTTGCCAAATTGACTGCCAGAACCTCCATTCACATTCCCACCATTTCGTATCAAAAATGATCTTTTCACATATGTTCTTGTCATCCACCTCTGCTCTAGGACCCCATTATACCCTCACCTTGCCTCAAGTCTGCTGAGTTGACCTTTTTTCACCAAGAGAAACAGAGCTTCTGTCCTTTTCAGCAAAATTACCTGTTGCTGAAAATCATGAGTAGTTTCTCCTCATTGCCTCAGCTGGTGTCAGAAATAATTGAACAACCAACTTATTGGACCAGATGATCTAGGAGGTCTTTTCCAGCCTTAATGATTCTAGGATTCTGATATGGGAGATGCTCTGCCTTATTCAAATAATTGACATGTTCAGTGGTATTAGAAAAATAAGCCTCCATGAATAAGATTATAAGTATGTTTTGTCTGGTTAACATCAGTTTAC